GGGACTCCAGGATCATGACCTGAGCCGAAGGCAGTCGCTTAACCAACTGAGCCACCCAGGCGCCCCCCTTGGTTTAGTTCTTAACCTTAGGGATCTGAGCAGGAAAAAGGGAACACAAAGCATTAGCCAGGAGAGGGTTTAATGAAGGAACTATTCACAGAGGTGTGGCAGGAATGACGAAGTACCCTGGGGCTTCCGACAGTGGGATGGAATCATTTGGGGGGGAGCCTGAAGGGCAAGGGGAGGAAACCTTGTTAATGAACCTGGAGAGAGTTGGACCCATGGGTGCAGGCGTCCCCTCAAGAGCCATGGCTTTCAGTGGAGGAACATAGTAACTGCCAAAATCACAGGGGGAGGCGGGTAGTAGAAATATCTCAGTCTCACTCCCCTCCTTCACACTGACCTCCAGTCAGTGTCTCCTATTGGCCAAACTCCACCGGAAACTATAAGGCCAGGTGAGACTGTCAGCAGGGGTCAGCCCCAGCAGAGAAGCATGGAGTGTGGAGGGCCTTCTCTGTTCTTCCTGGACGTGGCTTTGTGGAGGGGCCTGAGAGACAGCATGGCTGTCCCCTCACCCTTCCTCCTCCTCCCAGGCCCAGGTCCCTTTGTCTGCGAGGGTGTCCCAGTCCCGGAGTTCATCTCTCCCATCCCTGGCTTCCCCGGTTCTCACTGCCTACCACCACATCACTCAGTTCCCCGATTGAGCATTATTCTCTGCGTGGGTTTGTCTCCCCAGACATCAGTTCTTGCCTCCTCTACACTGTGAGCTCTTCGCAGGCAGGAGCCTGGGCCAAATAGGGCCGATCGCCCTGAGGCGGGGCCTAGCACAGGCCGAGTGCCACTGTTTGCCAAGGGAACTGAGTCCTGTGTCCTCACCTACCTCGCTCTGTCTCGGTAGACACAATCTGAGCACATGCGAATACCTGTTTCCCTGAGCACACCGGGGCTCTGTGGTGACGAGCAGCGCAGGCCTGGGGCGTAGCGGGCATCAAATGTTGTCTGAATTGGCCTAGGTAGGACCATTCTTCTTTCTCTCATTCATTCAACAGTATTTATTTACTTATTTATTTGAGATCCCATTATGTGCCAGGCCCTGTGCTGGGCACTGGGGACACAGCAGTGAACAGGACATGCCAAGTCCCTGCTCTCATGGGGCTTCCATTTTAGTGGGGACAGCAGAATAGGAGGAAAACCAACAATATGATCGCAGACTGTGATAAGTGCTGTACCGAAAATAAACAGTACATGGATAGACATTTATGCCGGGGGCGGGGGACATCAGGGAAGGGTTTTCTGAGGAGATGACATATAGGTGGAGACCCGGCAAGAGTAGAAGCTGGGATGTGAAGCGCTGGAAAGGGTGTTCGAGGCAGAGGGAACAGCAAAAACTAAGGTACAGAAGCAGACGTGCTTCTGGGACCTTGGGAGATTCAGAGTTGCAGCCTAGAGAAGGCCTTCGGGGAGGTCAAAGGGGTGAGGGATTCGGTCTTGGGGACAGCCCAGGGCCAGCTCCCGGGCTGGGGGCTGGGAGGGGAAGGGGGAGCCCTTCTTAATGCCCCCTTGCCGCCTGTCGCCTAGCACCCAGAGCCAACAGTGCTGCCAGCGGGCCTTGCCCTTTCTCCCTCAGCAACCCTCTGACTGGCAGAAGCTGTCAAATGACCAGCAGCTGAGGCTTTGCCAACCTCCTCCCCTGGAATATTTTAGGAGTAAGTCAGAAAATGACCAGCCGCCTCCGTAAAACCCAGCTTTTTCTCGTGCATGCCTTACAAGGGTGTATTTGGCTACCCTGGGTGTTAATCTCCCACCCCCGTGCATTAGACAGAGAGATATAAATATACAGCCACAGGCGGCCCGCTCAAATACACAGATTAATGCCCCGGTGTGCAGGCCCCAGGCACAGGGGACACTCCACGCGCCGGCTTGTGAGCACCCACTCCCACGCTCCCAGGCGTCAGCCCCAGTCCCTCACGGGCACGCAATTACACGCGGGCCCATACACAGCCCACCACCCCCCATCATAATAATAACCACTCTCTACCCCCCCAGGTTATACAAGCACACAGCCACATGCCCACACACAGACGTGTACCCCCCAGTCGTCCCAGAGTCACACACGGGCACGCAATCCCACATTCTCCCCCTACACACACACCCGTGTAGTGTCCACGCAGCCTGCAGTGGGCACACTGATCGCAACACACAACCCTCACACGCTCAACACAGCGGCACCATTACCCCCACCCGGCGCCCGTACTCAAGGCCTCTCTGATTAAACACACATCCAGCCCCTCGCTCTTTACAGTGCAGAGCATTCTTCTGTGATTGAGTCAAAGACCTCCCCAGACAGGGGTTAAGTGGAAAAAAGGCATCAGAAGGAAGAATGCCCGAGGCCCAGGTCTGGGATGGGGCCGGCAGCTTCTGGCTTAGGGAGAAAGACTTCAGTGTTGAAATTTGACCCTGACTCTAATGGGCCAAGGCCTTGGGGGAGGGGGCATGCCTTGGAGGGGACAAAAACGGGGCTGGGTCGGGTGACAGGTGGAGCGAGCGGAGAGACTCCAGGAAACCTCGCTGCGTGGGGGTGGACCTCGGTGTTATATCTGGACTGGACCTTATAGGCTTAAACCCCTCCACGCAGTCCTCCCACCGCCCTTCCCTAACCCCGGCAACAGGCTCCCGGCTGTCCCCAAACGCACGGGGTGTGGCCGTGACACCTCCTCCCCCAGCCCTTCAGGACAGCTGCGGGACACGGCGCTCTGGCCTCTCCTCCGCCCCCCCCCCGCCCCCGCCGCGGGTGGGGATCGCAGGGCGCCGAGCTGTGCGCGCTGGGGTGCTGGGTCCCTCTCAGTCCCCCACCCCAAACCCCTGCCCCCGCCGGCCGGGCAGGAGTAGTGCTCTCCCGGGGCCGCAGAGCCACCCTCCTCCCCGGCCCCCCGCAACTGGGACCCTTGGAAAGAAAGGGTGAAGGGAAAGAAGGTTCGGGAAGAGCTCGGGGCGGGCCGGTCTGGGCGACGCCGATCGGCCACCC